GTATTGTACTTATGTAGAAGAATTCTACCAATGTTCTTATTGGCTTTTAAAAAAGTATATTAGCTATTTAGATTGTACATGGTGAAAAAATCAAAACATTAGCTAAATAAGAAACATATTAGCAAAATAAATTATCAAATATTGCTTCACTAATATTCTGCATTTTAAAGCGCGAAAATTCAATGCATAAATAAACGCGAGATATAAAAAAATTCAATGCATTCAATACAAACACTTAAACGTTTTTTAGACGTTTAGGTAGCTCCCAGTAGAAAAATATCAATTCAACAGCGGCCTTTTAAAGCATTCTCACTTCAATAAATTAATTAATTCCTAATTGAGTTTAAATTAAATATTGTCATGTTTTTACTGTATGAATCTGAATTGAACAACCTGATAATGCTCACTCTGGTTATTGTTATCTGGTTGCTCACTACGTGCTCTTGCTATCTATCTTTATATAATATAGATAGATAGATAAGGCGTTTCTTTAGGGAATATAAATCCAATATTACTCACCTCATTTTCTTTTATTATGTTCAGTGTGCAAAATAAAAACACGTGCCATCCTTAATAACTTTTGATCAAATGATCGGATTTTAACGCTCTAGGTCTCATTCTTAATAATTCAAAAGGGTAAATTTAAATATGCTGATTAATTAGTGCATACGATATTTTACGTTACGAAATCAGACAAAAAAAAAAGGTCTTTTCTCTGAAAATATATAAACATAACTTTTTTAAACAGATTCGAATTTCTGATGTCCTAAATATAGAGGGTAGTCGCAATCTGGGAAATATAGTCTCAATAGTTTGGACAGAAGAGCGGAGTCCGAAATTTGGGCCCATTAAAGTCAATTTTACTTTTAAGTGAATTGAAAAATTTGTGCACACAATTATAAAATTCCTTTATCCAAAGACAATTTTACGTAAATTATAACTTTTACTAAATATTTATCATTTTTTTACTATTTTATTTAATATTAGTGGAAAAAATTTTGAATTTTAGGGTATACAATTTTTGCCACATTTTAAAGAAGATAATTTTATATTTCAAAATATAAAATTTGTGTGAAATCGGTCGACTAGTTCATGGGAAATCTAATGTCAAATGTCATACTTTAAAATAATGTTAAAAAATGCATATCATACAATTCAAAAGTTAGATCAAAATTTGTTCAAATGTATTCTTTTTTTTTTTTTTTGCGCAGTGTGCACTAAATTTGGTGTGGATTTGGATCAAAATTACAACTTTGTATAAAATACATACAGATAAATATTCTACTTTATTTATAGGATCATATGGATACATAGAGTAGTGGGTATAAGATAAGAAACATTAATTGTAACCTTTTAAAGTGAGATAATTTGTTTAATATTTTTCGAGACATTTACTGGGATTATAGCAAGCTTTTTTGTTTTAGTTTTAGAAACAGATAAAAATTTTAATGTTTACAAACTATCTGTTTATTACCAAAATGTACAGTATGTTAGTTTAAGCTGCTGTTAAGCTGTTAGTTAAGCTTGAACTTTCTTTTAATATCATTAAAAACTGGTTACAACTATCAATTTTCGTTCAAACTGGTAGAGGGACATCTAAAGAACAGATCTACATAGAAACTACAGATTATTATTATTTGGGCTTATTATTGTGTTACCTGAGAAATAATAGAGCGTATTTCTTGTGAAAGACCAGATGATTTTGTTGCAAATAACAAATTATGAAATGCCACCTGTTAAATAAGTAAACAGCTAAATCGTTCTTTTAAATGTTATAACAAATACTATTTTATTTAAATTCTTTACGGATATCATTATTATTTGGAGTTCATTCTCGATTTGTAAGATAATGTTGAATTATTGTTATTAAACATTATTTTTTTAGGAAAATTAACATTTCTGAAATGAACTTAATCTAATACATTTGACTTCCGCAACTGTAAGTGAGAAATTGTTTATTGCTTGTTAACTACATAAATAATTCTCAATAGTAGTAATACTCAGTTCTGAATAGCAACATATTTTTGGCTTTGAATTTTTAATTGTTTTCACAAACAAAATTGTAAGAGGTAAATTTTTGTTTTTATTTCGTGTTAATCTAATATTTCGTTTTGTGGAACTTAATGGTGAGTAGCATTCCTTTATTTCGAAATATTTGTTCATTATTTGCGAATTAGCTTCTTAATTATAGCATATTTGTCGATTGTGTTTGTAATTGTCGCAGAAATTTATTTAAAGTATAGAGTCATTGCGATGGCAACGCCTTAATTTTTCTAATCACTTCACTTTGGATATTTCATACCCGTATTAAGTAATTTAATTAAAAAATTTTGTTTGCTTATTTCCTGTAATTTCTAACCTAATTATGGCCTCAAACATCCATTCATTTATTCATACGGAAACTCAAACAATTAATAAATACATTTAAATAAACTTATTTCTTCTCCTTTCATTCACCTTTTTATCTTATCAAAACTGAAGTTATCTCTTTCAGTAGGAGTTGTAGTACACAAAGAAACTTGATGTATGATAATTTACTAGGTTATTTTAAAACATGCAAAACAGCTTCAAATAATATTTTTAATCTAATATTATTTGATGGAATTTTAATTACTGCTATAGAGACCTATCTATAAAAATAGCAAATTCAAATTCATCGGAAGTTTGGAAAGAGGTTATTTATATTTTGAGTGATTTCATAAAATTTCGATAAAAATAAATTTAATAGCTAACAAATACGTTTAATAATTTTTTTTCCTAAAATAATTATTAATCGAGGCTGGTATTTTAATAAAAACAATTACGAGAAGTAAACATTAAACTTCAGTAATACATCCTCAAATGCTTTTTATTAACTTTTAGACTTGCAGCAATTTTTTATAACGTTGAAAAAACTATTTACTATAAAATTAAATTTGGTTTAAAAGTTTAAGGTCAATTAATAAACGTTAACTAAGTTAAAATTTTATTTTATTATGTTAAAGATTTTAAGAAATTTTTTACTTTTAGTAGTTAACGATATTATGTTAAGTTTGCACTGGGAAGGATATTTAAAAGTGTCGGATCTAGATATGTGGGTTAGAGGCTGCGAGACAATATTTAAGATGGATAAAAAAGCAAATGGAAGCAAATGAAAATAGTTAATGAAATAGACGAGATTTAAAACCTGAAAATCTATTTGATTTTAAACAAGAAAGTGAGAGACGTGAGGGAAACTAAAAGAAGCACCTTCAGATTTTCTTTTCTGAGAAATTAAACTGGATTTAATGTATTAGTGCCTCTTTAATGAATAATAATTCACTTGATTTTGATAACAGTTTATTTTCCTGGATCCTATAGACAATATGAATCGTAAAGGGAATATTTACGACTCTTATGGTCTATATTTCTAGAATTGACTTTTGATAAAGATTCAAAAAGCGTATAAAGAGTGGATGTATTTTATTATTGGATTGGATCGAACATCAAATTGAATTATTTAGTAAATTAAAATTAGCTCATGATTTTCTATTTAACTCATGGGTCTTTATTCTAATTTTATATACTTTTTAAAACTGATAAGGCTTTATTATATTATAAATCGAAACATCAAACTATGAAATTGGAGCGACATCCTTTTAATTTAATAATGAAATTTTTATGCATCATTTAATTAAAAAAAAATGTGAAGAACATTTTGTTACAGACAGAGGTTTTCTAAAATCGGTTATTGATGGTTAACTTTACAAATTCTAAGGCTTCCGTAGCACATAAGTAGTAAATCCGTATATTTAAAATTTGATTTCACAAGAGCTTTTCAACTGATTTCGTCTAATTAAAAACAATAGATATACTTATTAAAAATTAGTTTTCGCATGGAATTATCTTTGGATGAACGATAAACGAAAATTCTATCTAGGTGCTCTAATTTTTATAGCAATAAGTAGTGTATTTTACCAGATTTTATTGTTATTATTATTTTTGTGACATCATATTGGTTAAGCTTTAAGAATTTAAATCATATTTGAAGTTAAAAAGTATCATTTTTTATATTAAAACTTTGTCTACTTAGTACTCGAAAAATTAAAAGAATTGCCAAAATAAGTCAAAAATCAATCAATCAATTATTATTATTATTATTTTTTAAATAATAAGTAAACGACAATTCTGAACGTGTCTTGCTACTTTCAGTTAACTTTGGTTCCATAATCTAGAACAAATCGGTCAACATTTGAGAAAAACTTGCACAAATACCATTAGATAAAAAAGATAATAGCAAATTCTATTACTTATCGAAATATTGCGCAACTACGGAGTCTTTATCATACTGTTGAATTCACTTTTTATCGATTATTTTCAAGTAAGAAATAGTACTTATTTTTGTTTATTAAATTTTAGGCTCGTAAAATGAGCACTACTCTGGAAACAGACATCTTGGCTAAAAAACGGCTTCATCTCGTCAGAGGAATTCCAATCACTACTCATTTCAAACAAGAGTTTGTTGAAGAAACTTTAGATTATGAGCCTCGAGATGGTGATGTCATAATAACAAGCTATCCCAAAACTGGAACAACTTGGATTTCTTACATCGTTCTTCAAATACTTACCAATGGAGAATCCTTTCCGAACAAAGATGAAATGTTGTACAGAACAATACCTTTTATGGAAAGCACTGGGAAGGCCGCTGTAGACGCCATAACTACAAATCCAAGAGTTTACAAACACCATTTTCCCTACGGCAAAATAAAAAAGAATCCCAATGCTAAATATATTTACATATACAGAAAGCCGGAAGACACTTTTGTCTCATATTATCACTTCCTGCGGTATAACAGCGAAGAATTAGATTTTGATCAGTATTTTGAAGACTTTTTATCGGGCGAAATTTCGTACGGTCTTTATTTTGATCACGTGCTATCTTTTTTGAAGCATAAAGAAGATTCTAATATGTTGTTGATCTCATATGAGTCTCTGAAGGAAAACACGAGAGAAGAAATAAAGAAGATTTCAAAGTTTTTGGGAGAAGAATATTACAAAAATATAACAGAGAATGAAGAGATATTGGATAAAATCATTTTACACACAAGTTTTGATTACATGAAAAGAAGACTTGTGGATGAAGCCAAAAAGGATGCGCCAAGTTCAAACAACGAATCAGCGAGGGATGCCTCCCACTTTTTCAGGAAAGGGGTTGTTGGAGAGGGTAAAAAATCATTGAAAGCTGACCAACTACAGCGTTTAAGGAAGCTTACTGAAGAACGAATGAAAGAAACTGAAGTCTTATTAGAATGGACTTGGGAATAAAATATTTTTGAACTTGCGATTAATATCATCGGTAAATATGACAAAGAACACGAAGAGCAAAAATAGCGGAGGACTTATTGAAAAAAGCATTGTACTTAATTTTATTTGAACTATAAATACTTCGCATTTATAACTTTCTTACAACTTGAATTCGTAATATTAATAAAATAATGATAACAAACATTCTATATTTAAATATTTGTGATTCAATTACAAAAATATAAATTGTTTCTGAAATATATCTGAATATGCTTTTATTTTTTTCTATGTAATAAAACTACCATCATCTATGGATATAATTGTCAAATTTAACGGCTTTTAACTATAAGTATTTTAAACAACTCTTTTAACTACGTAAGCATATGTTAAACGAAAGTAAATGAATTATAAATGATACTTTGAAATTCTATGTATATAAATGAACACTTATTCAAGGTTGCATGTAAGTCATTATATATAAAACTTCTAATTCAATTAACTGTGTTCAGAAAATAAAATGAAGTTTTGTTTAGGGCTTTTGCATACTCATGATGTAATATCGTCTTGGCTAATCACAATATTTTTATTTAAATTATTTTCGTTAATGGTGTTTGTATCCAAAGAAGAGATTTCCACAAAGAGAAAAGAATGTCAATGTATTAAAAATTGAAATCCTATACGGTTTGAATTTTGGACTTGTGCCTTTTACAGCATTTAGATAACTTTAATATATGTTCATTTTATTGAAACGATCTGGCCTGTGTACGAATTTTTAATTATTACTTTAAATTTGAAAACCTTTTTAAGTAAATAACACAAGTAAAGTAATCATATTCTTATAAATGAGACAAATAAAAAATCAATGTAAACAACAATTTTCACTTATTTTATTGTCATGAGACTTGTAAGTTGGTTTCTGTAGAATCATCTCAGATAATATTTTAAAGTAACGATTATTATCGGGGTGGGGGGTGGACGTAAATTTTATGTATTTTCTTTTCAGAGAAATTGAGTAAAATAGGATTAAAAAAAAAAGAAAAAGAAATCAAGTCTTCACAAAAAATGAGTAATTACATTTCGAGATTGGAGATCGAAATGGGCTGCAGGTGGCGTAGAGCAGAACTCTCTACCTATGGCAACACTTCGCATGCTTTCCCCATTAGCGTGTGGAGAGTCATACAGGAAGGAAGTACGTTGGTTTCTCTCTTGCTTTTCATATAGATTAAAATCTTTTAAGTTGGAAAACTACATTAAACAGAGTTCTAAAGAAAAGCATCACGAAAATTTTAAAAAATATTTTTATTAAATAAGAAAGAAAAATATTAAGAAAAGGGAAAGTATCGTAGTACATTACTATACAACTGAATAGAGGAGGAGAGGGAAGGGAGAAGGGTCAAAGGCATGAAACCGGTCTCTTTCCAGATGACGCATTCGAGCGTTGCAATCGCTAATAGCTTTTTAAGCCACATGACTATAACCCTTTGTTGTAATACCATGGATGGGTAATTCTCTCAGCAATCAAAGCCTTTTTTACCGTTCCCGTTGTATGTCTGCTCTGATAAATCAAATAAAAAAACGATACTGATCATACTATTCAGCAATACTTTACAAATTAAGCCTGATGGTGTTTTTTTCGCCTAAAAATAATTATTGTTCTTCATTTTCCTGGATTTTATGTTTGTTGTATGACCAGTATGACAACTTTGCATAAAATTAATACAACCGCAGTAGTTTAAATGTTTAGGCTTAGACGGTTTAGAACCATAATCATGTATGTGGACTTAACTTTTTAGTAAAATAAAATGTAGAAATACATAATAGTGCACAGTGCAGAAATGAATGTTCTACCGAAAGCAGTTTTTGATCTGATGTGATCTGATTTCACATACTAATTAATACGCTTTGAGGTGCTATTTTAATGGTTTGATTGGCGCGCATTATGTTTGCTAATTATTTAATTTGACGATATTTCAAATCAACAAAACAAAACACAAAAAACACAATAACTTAAAATAAAAATGCAAAGTTTCTTATGCCATTCATTTTTCATATTTCGCCATATATCTAGAGCTATAATAGCGAGTCAGAAGATTTTTTCCCCCAGAATTATCAAACTCATTTATTTAAAAATACTTCCGTGAATAAAACAAATTTTTTTTACTGCTTTTATTTATATTAAACACATATTTTTGAATCTCAAATGATGTAATTTTAAATGCTCAACTTGCTGTTTTCAACAACTGTACAATTTATTTATTTCAAAATTGAAGAGTTTTTTCCTTTGAATTCCCATTATTTAAGATGCTAGTAAAAACTTCATACATTTTTTTTATCATCGTTGCTAACTGAAGTTCTAGAGACTTTTCGAAATACGCAAAACTCAAAAAGTAGCATAAATATTAAGGAGCTTGTAAGGGTCTGTGATTGTAATGGAAAAAAAATGAAGTGTGAATTATTTACACTGTATTAGTAATAAAAGGGTTGTGAGAGTGATAACTCTTATCACATAGCACTTTTTGTGTTTAGAAAGATAATGAGATTTCAGTATTTTTCCCATGGCACTGTTATGAGCGTCACTCATGATTCTTTTTTAAAGATCACGTGTAGATGTTATGTATCTTTCTTAGAACTAAGAGTATGTTAGCAAAGGCAAGGCTTAAATATTTTAGTCTCTCTCTTTTATAAATCCTTCGAATTTATATATTTTGAAACCCCATGTAATATCGGGGCTATGATAATATTCGATCTTTATACTTTTAGTGTTGTGAATGCTCGCCCGTCAAAAATTGTTAAATGTGTTTTTATATGTTATACATTATTAATATTTTAAACTTTGTTTAAATCATCTCGTATTTTTTTTGTTTGTACTCATTGTGAGACTTGAATAATATTCCACAGAAATAAATTCCAAAGTTATTTATTTTTGAAAAATTTAAAAAGCAAGACTTTTGAACAAAGTATTTCCAGCACTATAATAGTTAATAAAAGTTTAATGTAATATATTTCATGGTTTATACGAAAGATAATATAAATAAACAGGGTTCATATAAATGAAAGCTAAGATAACGTAAGATTAACTAGTGATTAGAAGAAAACGCTACAAACGCAAAATTTAAGCAAGATTAAGGGTGAACATGTATTACAACTACTAGAGAAGTTTCAACAATAAAAATTTTTTCAAAAGGAGAATGTTTTTTCGTATGCTTATTTAAATGTTTGGGTATAATTTGTGGGTTTGTATAGAAATTAATGTATACTCTCATTAATAAATAATGTAATTAATTAATTAATGCAGTATATTCTCATATTTTTACTCCAAAACTTTAATTGTTAACATATAGCAACAAAAAATTCTTAAACGTGCTAAATATCTGCTAAAATAAAATTTTTTTTATCTCTTTCTTATTGCAGCGGATCGTCTCGCCATTACGGCGATAACGAACTATCCTGGAACGCCGGATTGGCGGAACATTCAAAGTTGGCAACCCTGCCACAGAGACTGTTTTTCCGCATTCGGGTTACAGCTTCGACCAGTGTAGCGTCGTAATTTTCACGTTCGTGCTAAGGCACGTGTTTATTTTATTCAAGATGTAAATTTACTAATTTCCTATTTCATTAAATATGTTTAACTTTTTATCTATGACTGGCATATATTAATTTCCTTTTAGATGTTTATTTAACTTTAAGTATTAATATTTAAGTAATTAATTTAATTGCATATGGCTTACCCATGTGCACTTAATTATTTTAAACTTTAAGGAATTTAATTTGATAATAATTTACGAAAATTTTCTTTAATTTTCTGAAAAATGGAGGGGACTTTTAAATGCTCCTAATTATTCAGTAGGACATTTACCCACTGTCAGCAGCACCATGGTCCCAAATTAAATTAATATGGTAATAAGGAAAAAAAATATAAAATACAGTACAAAACTGCCCGGAAATCCGACCGTTCATACCTAACATATCTTCAAATTGCCCAGCCTACAACCCAAGAGAACAACAGCTTGCTCAATGCTACCAATGGCTGTAGGTTCTCTATAGATATAGTTTCTCCCGAATTGGTAAGTGCAGTCAATTGTTGTTTCTTTCGGCAGAACTTAGTGTTTTTGTTTTTTACTGATTTTTTTTACTACAATCATGAACACGGAGACAGGAACATATATTTGTGGTATGAGATATTATTAAAAAAATATAATACGAAAGAAACATGAATTTCCTTCAAATAAAACGTTACGAACAAAAATTTAAAAAAAAAGAAAAGATTTCAGTTAATTTGGTTTAATTAATATTTTAATAACCTCTCATATAGTTTTATGAAATTGCCACGAGATGGCAGAGATGATTCAATTGGAAACCTTTTTGAGTTACAGAAATAGGTAGCTGAAAACGCTTTTGCAATAATTAAGCTATGAAATCTTTCATATAATGGCAACACAATAATGAAAATATTTTTACTGTTGTGTTTACAAAATGAGTGTGATATTTAATTATTTATGTTTGTTAAATATTTTAATCATATCATCAATTACAGGTATGATTGACATTTTTTAAAATGCTTTTTTATCTCTCAGTTCACATCTTTTCTCTGGATAATATCTCGTTTAGAAAAAAATATGAACCTTAGACCGCGCCCACTTTTTAACGTTTCAAAAATAAATAAAATATTCTTCTTCTTATTTTTCTGTAAAACTGTTGTGTGAAACTTCTTCCTATTGTTCCGTTGTTCAGTTTCTGTGATAACATTATAACTAAGAAATTTATTCTTAATTGTTTGAAAATTAGATTATGCTCTCTTGTTATTATTCATACACTTAACTGGTAGTCTTATAAAGACCGAAAGACATTTTTCTTCATTTTATAAATGCCATGATGCGAAAATCACCTCTTAGAAATATTGCTTCGCATATGTGTATTTATGCGTTCATAAGTTGTTTAAATGTTTGTAAAATAATAATTTTTAATGAAGGAATATTTTTCTGACATACATTGACTAAGAGTCTTATTTATGTTCACTTTTTTATTAGTTGTCCATGCTTACTATGATGATGGATATTGCGTTCTTCCTCAAACACTCCATGGTGAATGGTTTTCTCGTGAAGATGGCTTAAACAATTTTATAACAGTTGATAGTAAGTCGATTCAAGGTCGAGGAAAATGCAGAGAAATTTTAGACACCAACAATGATAACTTTACAATTCTTCTTCAGCAAGAGTAAGTTTATTTATCTATCATGTTCTTAAAGATTGTTAAAATATTGGGGATGTTTCCGTGTAACTGCAAGAAGATTTCTGTGGCTGAATATTTGCCAAGCTATGCAACTTTCAGGCATTGGCCTGACGAGAAAAAAAAATTCACAGAAAGGGTATAACTCGTAGCCACCCTCGGGCAAACCTCTACATGTTTTATTTTAATACTTCCCCTTTAAAATCAATTTGGCGTTGCAGATTGCGATAAGTAAATTTCCCCCTAACTACAATCTCTGGGGTGCCAAATAAATTTTAAACTTGCATTCTTTTTATATAAAAAGAACAAAACAAGTAGAGGTTTGCCTGAGGGTGGCTACAGTTATACTCTTCATGGTGGTCCCATTTTGTGATTTTATTATATATTTTTTTAAAGTTTCTAGCTAGCCTGGTAGTTACCAAGCTTTTCTGCTGAGCTTTCCTGGTTGTTGCCAAGGTTTTGCGATTTTTCTGTCTTACATTATGATAAGAAAATCTTCCCAAAATTGGTTTATTTTAGATCACTTAGTTGTAATATTTTTCTTTTATTATATGTTATTTCTATAAATTTTGACTCTATATTTTTATATTGGATTTTTAGTTGTTTGAGTTTTTGAATCTCGTTCGAAGATGTTCTGATGACACCATTCACAAACGCAAATAAGTTTATTCGGTTTTAAGAAAAAAGTGAAGATATTTGAGCTTTCTCTTCTTGTTATAAGCAAGTGATTTTGTATTGAATTAATTGTTCCGAAAACAAATGTTTCATTTTAATTTAAAATATTTTTCTACTCTATACCAATGGTATTTGTTGCTGTAACTTTTTCATGAAAATAAAAATTCATATGAAAGATTCATTTAGAAATTGTGAAAGTGATTGGTGCATTTTTAGCAGTACAATCAAACCAGATTCAGTCAGAAACTTCTCTAAGTTTTAAAAGTATTATTTTTATTGTAATTTGTATTTCTGATGGAATTATCTAGGATACTGGTAAAACAATTGTTAATAATTAAATAAAATAATTAAAAAAAAACTATTGAAAAAGAAAGCTATATATATGATGAAAACAATGATTTTGATCGTTTGAAAGTTGACCAACAGATGTTTGTTTACTTTTTATAATTTTAAAGAATTTGAAGCAATCTCCAAAAGCTCTGTGTCCCATAACTGACCGATTTGCTTACTTTATATATTTGTAAATTAATGTTTTAAATAAATTAAATTAGTGTCATCTTTTAAATTTTTTTTTTAAATGTTAATTTGGATTTAAATTTTTGGCTTTAGGCTTATCAATTCAAACAAAATAAAAATTTGGTTATTTTAGAGTTAATATTCATTTTTGTATTTTATCTTATTTTTTTTTTACTGTATAGTTAAATTTCATTGAATTAAAAGTCTTTGATATAGGTACATCTCCGTTAAAAGAAATTTCCCATTTTTTCCTTTTTATTTGGTTGGTTTCTTTTCCTCTTTTTTAATAATGGCAAGGTTTTTCATCCTCTTTATTCACTGAATATTGCAGTGTGCAAAATTTTCAATCGCCAGCTAGCTATAAGAGCCAAAATCTTTACTGTTTGTAAGTAAGTTTTGTCTTGTAAAATATTGTGCTAAAAAACTACTGTACTTTTTCCAATTTACTTTAGACAAGTTTTAAAAAGGATGAGCAAGTGTTTCAGATTTTAAAACGGGATGTTAAAATATGCATCACTAAAAACCAAAATCTATTAAATGCATAAATGCCTCCCTGCATATTTTTGACACCTTGTCTTTTCCTCCTAAAGAAAAAATTCTTCAATTTCAGATAGAAGATAAAGAAACTATTCATGTAATTAAACCAAATATCTTTAATAAACAATAGTAAATGTTTTGTTATTAGAGACATCAGAATTCAAGTTTAGGTTCGTTTCTATGGTATGGATTCAGATGTTGAAGAAGTTATCAGTGAAGAGTATACATTCAACGAGTTACTCAAATTTGGTCCAGATTATAAAGTTTTGTACTAATCCAGTTTTTAATGCTTTTATGGTTTTGGAAAATTTTGTAAATATAGTCGTCATAAAAAATATTAGTCTGGCTGGTTACTTTAAAACTGAAATTTCATACTCTGATGTAATTTCCAAACATTGTATGCTAAATGTTTTGTGTACAAATCTTTTTCTGTGTTGACTTATGTATGTATTTTTCTTCCCATTTATTCAGCATTGTAAATAACTTTCTAACATTATATGCTGAATTTTTTGTATTTACTAATGTTATTCTTTTTTCAGCAATTGTTATAACTGCATTCGTATATTAGTGAGAACTCTGAATGTGTTGGAGAAAATAGAAAGTAATTATATTAGTTTTTTTTGCTTTTATAAATAAAATGCCTTAGTTATTTTGTCAAGCAATATTAAGGGTAAAATAAATTGAAATCAATATTTTAAGAAATAATTTAGCTAATATTTTATTTTTGAAAACTTGTTTTTATTTTATTAAACAAAAATTTTTTGTTTCATTCTGCATCATTTCCTTTGTTTTAGCTGGATGTATGAGTCCTGAAAACAATGAGAAACCTACTCTCCAATCAATTTGTAAACACTTGGATCCTTATAAAGAGCTTATTACTTGGTTTTGTAAGTATCTTTCAATTGAAACATTAAGAAAAAGTCCTGTCTATCCTGTCCTGTTTGTATTCAGTAAATATTTCTGTAAATACTAATTTTAAAATGTTTTCCTTGAAATCTCACTTATTTATTATAGCCATACAGATTGACTCTTTGCGATGCTTTTCAAAATTTTTAAATTCTCCAAGGGCATTAGAAACAGTGATGTATGCTATAAGTTCTCAAAGAAATAATAAAAATCGGAAGTTTAAAACATGGTTTGTTAATTTAGGAAATATTTCCTTATCATGATCTGCCACGCCAACTACAATCGCCAAGGTGTCTAATTGATTTTAAACTGGAAACATTTTTGTTAAAAAACTACATTTATAGGTTTGCCGGGGGCGGCTACGAGTTATACCCTTCGAGTTGGTACTTTTCTGTGATTTTTTTTATAGTTATTCGCAGGCCGATCCCGGGAAGTTTACGAGAATTGGCGATTATGCTGCCACAGATCACAGTATGGAAATCTTTCCTTTTCTAGAATTATATAAAAGGGAATATTTCATTTGATTTAATTAATATTTTGAGAAGACATAAAAAAATTATATTTATGAATACACATTGTTGCAAGGCAAAGTATAGCAAAAGGTTCTTTTTATTGTGTATGTTCAGAATTAAATTGAATTATAATAATCTGTTTCAGCTAAAAACCCTACTCTAAAGAACTGTCGATCCAGTATGGAAGGAGTTTGGAAATTTGCATACATGAATAGATATTTATTTACTGGTGAATGTGAACATCCAGAAGCTAATATTACTGCGTGTCAGATTCCTGGGAGTCAGTTTTATATTGAAAACCAGCAATTCATCATGAATTATAAACATTGCGATGGTGTGAAAGATACACAAGATGCTGGTAAATGTCTACATTCATTTTTAAAAGTACTGGTTTGAAAAGATCGTGATTGGCTAAATTTTTGTGTGCTCATCACCTTTATTTTAATTTAATAAGTTTTTATTATGATGTCCTACTTCTGAGAACTTATTTCAATTCCATTAATAGTCAGTTTTAATTATCAGAGTTCTAAGTTGTTATTTTTATATCAATTTTGTGATTATTTGTTAAGTATGCCAAGAGCTGACTAATCCAAGATTTTTAACTTATTACCGATATTTGTGGAAAAGTTTAGCAAAATTTTATTTTTGTGAAAAATCATAGTGTTATTATATTATTCTTAGGAAAAATCATAGCATTTCATTATTTTCAGTGAAGAATTATGCTTAAAATAATATTAATAAAAGCAGCAATTTTGATTTTATATTTTAGTTCATTAATTATCAATTTTAATTATCGGAATACTAAGTTGTTATTTTTAAATCTATTTTGTGATTATTTTTCAAATATGCCAAGAGCTAGCTAATCCAAGATTTTTTGACTTAATACCTAATTTTGTGGAAAAGTTTAGCAAAATTTTATTTTTGTGAAAAATCATAGTGTTTCATTATTTTCAGTGAATGCTCAAAATAATAATAAAAGCAGCAATTTTGATTCTGTATTCCAGTTTTCTATAATAATAAACTATTAAGATACTTGTTTACAACTCTTTATAACATAATACTTATTATTTACAATTAATTCTAACTCACTTTACTTTTCAAAGCTTATGTTGCAAAAAGGCCACTCATTTGATGAAAATTTACTGACTCTGATTTTTAATTTTTTTGGGACGGTTATTTACCTATGCTAATCACGATTTTTGTGAAAGAACCAATTTTATAACAACAATCTGTTAAATGATACTAAAATTCACGTGTATTGGGCCCTGTTTGCTTTGCTGTACGAATCATAGTGTTTGTGTATTGTTGTTCACCAAGTTGTTAATATGCATATACGTTTTCTTATTTGAGTGATGTAAACATTATAATAATAAAAAATTAAGCATATATTATGCTTTCAAAATTATATATATTTTTCCTGTATGGGTAATAAATTATTCATTGTAAAAATAACTTTCTCAAATTAAAAATAATCTGCGTAATAATAAAATTGCAAAAGAAAATCTTTTTTATAAAATATATAGTTGAGCTTTTAATGGTGTATGACTCTACTCTGATAAATTGTTTTTTCCTTCTCTTCACTTTGTTACTTAATAAAATTAATAACGTCTGCTATTTAGTAAAATATGCTTATGATCTATAAGAATAAAATGCTAGAATGATTCTGTTTCAGCTATAAGTTGTGATTTTGTTTTCAGAGGTGCAGTACAAGTGCCTTGGTGATTGGTATATTGGCAAAGATCATTATTGGGCTGTCTTGAATGCTCGAGAATCTAGAATAGAAGAAGCCTATCGTTGTTTTGTGAGTAAAAGAAAAATGGTTTAATATTTTGTAAAAAATTTATTTTGAGACGTTTTTCAAAATGCTAAATAATTTTTTTCTATATTATCTCTTATGTTTTATTGTTTAATAGTGATAGGAAATTGAATGAACAATTGTTTTGTAGATTGCTAACAGAGATGATGATTTCTATATATCTTTGTCCATAACAGCAGAATGCAATACTTTAAAAACTGCTCAAAGTGGTCCTGAAAGATTACATCTAAAGCCAGGTAATTACAACATAAGTAAAACATAACTTTGAATGATAAAGAATGTTAAGTTTTTGAATTTTATTCATTTTATATTTATAAATTAAGAACCTTAAATGATGGAAAAAAATAATTTTTATTACTGCACATATCCTAATTATATATATATTTTTTGTTGAAAAATCTGGCCACGCACCCTGTTGCAATTGTTTCCTATGTATTGACACTTAGTAGAAAATGTCAATTTTAATTCATTAATTCCTGTTGACTTTTTGTTATTTGGGTTTATGGAAAGACATTTTAAAATTACAACAAAAGAACAGATGGTTTCACATGATTTTAAAAATACTGATTTGGTGATCAAATGCTGCAAAATTATTCTTGTTGATTTTATTTATAAGAGTGCAGAAAAGAAATATTTTCTTAAAATATGATATAAAGTCCGAATGGAAATCATTCTTTTTAATAAATATATTGAGCTTTAAGTTATATTGTAAATAATTTATTGATGTATTTTTAAACAGTCTGAAAACAAATCATCTGTGATTTATTAGTTAAAACCACCTCTATATAATCTTATAAGAAATTCTTCTGACCGTAATGCACAAATAGTTGTTGGATAAAGTTTCAAAGTAAGCAATAATGATAAACAGGTTTTTAAGCACATGTTAAAAAATTTGGTGCAAATTTGTTGAGATTTAAAGATTTGTGTAAGAATAATTTTTTTATACCTAGGGTATCTTTTAGAATAATGCAGAAAAATATTAAATGGCTGAAAATGTTAATAAAGTTGAGAAAACTTATTATTTCAGTTAAGGCTGAGTATGTTCCACCTCGATGCAAGTTTTATGATAATTTCACTGGAATCTGGATGAACACTGCTAATTTTGATGCTGAAGTAGTTATAAATGCAACACATATTGTGGAACGTTGGAAACCTGATACTGGTCGAATTAAAGAACAAGTTTATGTCTGCCATGAAAGAAGAGATTCACGTTATGTCTTGGCAAGAATGGGAATCAATGGATGGTAACATATATTCTACAGAAGCTTCTTTCTAAATTTAATTTAATTAATAATTTTAGCTCCTTAGTTAATGTAATTCGTGTTTAGGTTCTCTTGCATTTTACTTATAGAGCAGGAGATCTTTATAATCTGAACTTTGAATTATGTGTTTTATGAATCATTAATCATATCAAATTTAAAATCAAATCATGATAATATGTATGTTGAACAGGTCCATATTAGTGCTTTAAAATTCTTTTTAATTACTAATGCTTTAAAATAGAAAAATATGCCCTTGAATATTTGTTATTTACTGGAAAAAAAATTGGAATTATTAAGAGCTTTAGGATTAAAAACAAACAAATTTATCAATTTTGGTTTGCTTCTAGAGGTAGCAATGTTTTTGCAAATAATTCCTTTTTCAGGCTATGAACAGTCAATAGTTTTCATTCGATAACAGAAATTTTTTAAACCACAATTTTCATTGTTGATATTAGCAAAAATAATGTCTTTATGGAAAATTGAAGTTTATATAATTTCATCATACAGATCCGTAACTGAATATCTGTTTTGCCCAAAATGATTGACAATTTGAAAAATCAATGAAGGAAAATTGGAAAGAGATTTAAATGCACCATTTTCTGTAAACTGGTTAGGAAGCTAAATAATTTATTAGTACTAAGTTAATACATTATTCATAAAGTTTGTCAATAGATGGTGGGGTTAGCTGAAAGAACTACAAAGCAATGTTTTCAGTTGCATGTCAGATCATTCCAACTGAAAATTTTAATTGTTGTTGCAAATAGTGAGTATTTTGAATACAGATTTACATTGATTTATAGTTTTTCTCAGTTGGTTGCGATCATGATCTTGGCAACTAATTTTGAATTTTGGTTAAAATGTACAACTAGATTCACTAGTAAAACTGAGCAAATCATACAATTTTATCTTTTTTCAATTTTGTTTAACTGATTTTTCAAATTTTTGTTTTTTTGCCAACTGGTGATCTATGATGTTTTGCATCACTGCGATGTCTTACATAATTTATTTTATATATCTGTTCTAAAATCCAAATTATAAAAAGAAATATTATATTATTAACATCATGTATTTATCTATCTTTTTTTTTAAAAAAACAAAATCTGAATCTAATTTATATGTATTAAAAATTTTTTAGGGTATGTAAAAGATTTTTATGAAGATTATTATAATTTTCTTGTTTGTATTTTTTTAAAAATTTTGTTGCATTATTCATTAATTCTTAATCTTTGAATAATTTTTTTCAGTCAAAAGGATTTCATGTGCTTTGATTTTTTACCTCGTCATCATAATATTATTAGATATAGGAAAGGTAAATGTTCCACTTTTATTTATTATTAATTAATTAGTTATATATATATTTCAATATTTTAAATATTAAAACTAAAATAAAAATTAAGTTTCCCCTGTCCTTTGTTCAAGATTTATTTTTATGTACTTTAGAACAGAAATTTCATGCCCTGCATTAATTAAAGTGTTAATCAGACTAAAACAGGGTGCGTAACATTTTTAAAAAGTGCTTAAAGGTGCTTATTTTCAATTTTTGTTTTTTAAAAGCCCTTAAAGGTGCTTTTTTCATTGGATGTTTTTAAAAAGTGCTTAATTTTTCCTTTTACAAAATGAGATTCTTCCTTTACCATGTTGATTTTCACTACAAATTATGCAAAATGACACAGTTCACATTGTTCTATTCAACGTTAGAAACTTGCTTCGCATTTTTAATAGTTGTCAACAGAAAACTTACAATTCTAGGAAAAATATGGTAGTTTGATTTAAAATACAATCTAATATAATAAATATAATATTGCGATTCATCTTCATTCAATTTTGAAATATTATATCCCAATTCTTATAAGAACTAAGTTATTTCTTAAACTAATTACTATCAAAATGTAATATTCTTCATCGGTAGGTAATTTAATTATAAATTTTAGTTTTAAATATTATATTAAATATGTATGGTATATAAATTGATATCTTGATATTAAGTTTTTACCCTTAAAGGTTTCAGGGTTTTTTCCTTTGTGTTGTAGTTACCCCTGGACATTTTGGATAGAATTAAAAACATTAATAAAATTTCATTGTTTTTTTATGATTCTTTTGAGAAAATTTTGATTTTCGAATAATGTGCTAAATTAATGTGTGCTTTGACCTCAAAATCAGAATAAATGTTAGGTTTTTGACATATTTTGTCGCATTTCTCAAATTTTCATTAAATTTTCTTTATATGCAATAACGAAAAATTAATTAAAATTATTGCAATGAAGATCTTATTTTCTCTTTTGAATTTGAAGCTATATGATAAAAAATTAACTCATATTCTTAGGTGAATTTTTGGCTAATTTCCTTCATTTTTTTTTTCCTTCAGGGATTGTGCTATGTAATATGTTACTGTAAAAACATTTTTTTTAGGTGTTTATTTTTGTTTTGTTATGTATAATTATAGTGTAGCTTTTATATGTTTTGTAAAATGATTTCGTAAATTTTTTTATGGTTTTAGTTGGTTTGTTTTTCTTTGATTGACTTTAATTAGTGTAATAATTAACTTTATATCTGGCTAAAATTCAAGTTTTATTTGTAGGAAAATCTATGATGGTAGATGATTTTTCAACTGTATGTTCCTGGACTATGTTTCCAAATAAGCAACAGTGGCGATATGACATTTTAATAAGTGCGTGAAATATTTTTTTCCGAAACATATTATGTGCCTAAAATATTTATTGTTATTTAAGTAATTTTATTTTTCATTTATAGCAAAAAATCCAGTTTCAATAAAATGCCCCGTTGCTGGAAAATTTAAATTTGAACAAAAGGGAGATATCTTGTTTGAAACAAGAATTAGAGGTGGTGTTACTTCAAGTCCTCGTCCTAATGTTAAGTGTCAAGACATCATATCAGACTTTTCTGTCTGTGATGCTGATCAGAAAATTATTTACATTGATGCAGAATATTGCATATCAGTAGATTATTTTGGGAGACCTGTCGATATTTACAGTAAGTAAACTTGCTTTTATATGTTGCACATTATGCTAATTTGTTTCATATTTATATGCTTGTTTATTTCAATTATGTGTGCTTGTTTTGTAATTGTTTTAATAAACAGTATTGAACTAAATTTTTTTCTAATGATTTCCAATAATAAAAGCTGGAATAGAAGCATTTTAAGCTTAAAATTTATATAATTAGCTAATTTTAATTTATGTAAAACATTGGCTTTCTTGATTTATTTTAGTTTTTCATATTACATTATATTAGTTAAGGCCCTTATTATTATTTTCTTATAAACATTCATTTAAGACAAAAATTTGACTTTAGATTGATATCTGATTGTAGCTTTTTCAAAATGAAATCTATTATAAATATTTCATGTTACAAGAAGCCTGAAAGAATGTTAAAAAAAAAAAAGCATTTTTTCCCCAAAACTTATGTTTTTGAATTTATGTTAGAAATATTGGTTCTGTGAAATTATTTTCGGCATATAAGGCTACTATAAAGGCTATTTTAAATCTTACCATATTTTCTTGCATTGATATAAAGTAATTCTAATGACAGCTTTAAAAATATTATTACAGACCTGTTTTCCTCCAATCTTTTTTAAATTTTTATTTTATTTTATATATAAATATATATCTATAGTAATGAATTTAAAAGTGTTATTGTATTTTAATTTTTAATTCTTCTACTGGCACTACTGTGCATTGCCAGCTCTGGTTATCTCAAGCAGCTTGTTTTATCTCGAGCCATCAGATGCTAGTACTTTCCATCGATTAACCTCCTCACTGCTTTTCAACATCATCTAACCATCTGTCTCCTTTTTTTAATTTCTGATTTTTGAGAAGCTATTTTATTAATAAGGATATTGTTATCATATCTACAAATATGTTTAAGCTATCTCATCTGCTGGATTTTTATTATCTTCACTATATTTGGTTTTCTAAATTTGTTGTATGTAAGTTGTAAATTATTTTCCATATATTTTCCTTGAACTGCACCAGAAAATCTTCTCAAAATCTTTAACTTGTAATTAAGTAATCTATTTTATTTAGATTTATTCAAATATATAATGTATTTTGAAATTACTATATTTTATTAATTATGATTATTATGTACTTTAATTTATGAAACTAGTAGAATCATACTATTCTTAATTGCACATATTTTTCAATATGAATTATGTAACCTTAAAAAAATTGTAAATTAGACGATTTCTTGATTGTAGATTACCCCTATTTCCTTTTTTTTCTGCTAGGTGAGCCTGATCACAAAATGAAGTGCATTGGGTTTTGGAAAGAAAATTTGAAATCCTATTTAATAACATATGATGAAGAAGATGCTTATAGCAAATTTAGATGCTGGGTAAGTGTGAAGATTGATCCGCCTTTAAAAATGTTAGTCATGCAATCATTCTGCTGACTCAGATCTGTAAATATTTTATTTATATATGCTAGGTGTATCAGAAGGCTGATTTAAATCGTTTGTTAATGTCAGAGTCAGTTGGTGCTTTTTGTCATATAAAACAAGATGTTTCTAGTTACAATGCTTCTGAAGGAGCTCAAGTTTCTTTGGTTATGGCAGAGTATGAAAGAGAACGTAAGTTTTTTTCTAATGTTCATAGTGATGTGGTTTTTTTTTCTCCTTAAAGAGAGCCAGACAGTATTTGTATTTATTTTGTAAGACCTTCTGTTAAGGTGTAATAATTTAAATAAGTGTTTATTTGTTTTAATTGCATAAAATCATAGCTTAATAATTACTCCAAATTAAAACCAAAATCTTTATAATTTTAGTTTTCACATTGTTTTATTAAATTCAAGGCTTTAAATTTCCACATGCAAATATATATAGCATAGATGGCAATTACATATATTTTACTCTTTCTTAAAAGCATTATAAAGAAAAAGATCCTGTTTTTTTTCTGTAAGTCACAGCTTTAGTATAAATAAATTAACGGATTTATGCTTTTACTGCTAATTTATATATTTATATAGATATTTATATGAATTTTACCTTAATTCTTATTATTGAAAAAAAAAAAAAATGTTTTATAAGGCATTTAATTTTGCAGTTGATTGGCATATGTGTGTTACAATATATTAGTGTTTAAGACACATATCAAAGTTAAAAGAATAACGAATGCCAATTTTTTTTTAATAAATAAAAAAGATTATTCAAATTAAAAATTCCATCTAATTAAATTACAGAACCACATTATCATCAAGTCAATGTAGGGCAGTGTAAAAAATGCTTAATACAATATTTTTTCAAAGTGTTTTGAATATTTGATTTCAAACACCTTTATTTTGGTTCTGTTTGCATTATCAATAGTGGAACGTAAATACAAAATCATATATTTCAAAAAACCATTTGACTATGTAAAGAAATAAAACAAGTTTTTCTTGATACTGCAAAAACAGTCTTATAATCAATTTGCAATGATAACGTAAACAAAAGTCTGAAAAAAAGATCACATGACAGAAAATCACTTGACATTCCATATTGATTATCAATTTCTCATTTGTTAATAATTATTTTGTTTGTTTTTTTGTCCTTTGAAGTTTTCTTGTCAGTTTTGTTAAGATTAGCAGACTCCAATATTGAAACGGTTATTCTGTGCTTTTTCTGTGGTTCCACTGTAGATTTCGCTTTGCAAAAAATAGGCCTAAATAAAAAAGTAAATAAATAAATAAGAACTCAATCAATTCAAGGTTTAACAGTCAGGAAAATAATCATTTTCTGAGTTACTGATCTAAAATTTCTACTTTAGTTTAATTTGTGGTGGTTTGATCATGTATATTTAGGTCTCTGACAAGTAAAATATTTTGCATTTTTCCTGTTGAATTTTTTATTTTATGAATGTGTTAATGAGATTCAAATTGTATTTCCTAAATAGTCCACATCCAGGGGTCTGTCCAGGCCGAATTTACTACCGTTTAGCGGTACCTACACAAATTCAACTTTAGGAAAAACGGTAGTTTCACAAATTCAATTTTAGGAAAAACGGTAGTTTCACAAAATACTTTTTCTTAAAATTTCATTTTTTTATCCCTTAAGAAACGATAAATCTATATTTTTGTGTTGATTTTTTAATATGATTTTTAATTTTTCACAAATTACGTCTAAATTTTCACAAAATAGGTACCTGTCAAAAAAACCTAGACAGACCCCTGACATCAATTCCTGGAGTTCAATACCTTTTGTATTAGCTGTTTTCTTAACATTACTTTATGTGAAAATTGATTTTACACTTGTACCATTTTCCGAATTATTAAAGCTTTAGTTTTATAAGTTGTCTACATAGCAGATATTGATAGAACATGAAACTAACTTGCACATTTCAGTTTGTTGTATGGGCAATTAATATAAAAAATAACGTTTTGAATCAAATTTATACTATTCAATAGAATTTATATTATTCAATAGAATTTATATTATTCAATAGAATTTATACTATAGAATTTATATTATTTCTCTTGTTTTTCAAATGCAGTGAAAACATTGTTCTTCATTTCATTTAATGCAAAATTGAAAGTACTTTTAAATGTCTATTTATGTTAAGTAATAGTTTATAATATCTTATACTATATTAATTGCAATATCTTTTTAACACTTCGTCTTCTTTCTTGAAAATAGTTTTGTTTGTATTGTATCAAAAAATATCCTGATCTTTATTTTCAACTATTAAGATGCTTGATATAACTAACTAACATTTTCAAAAAGTTTCTTTTTTTTTATTCTATTATTACTCTACGAATATGTTTTTGATAAAATATAGGTAAAATCCTTTACCAATTTGAATACATTAATATATTTCCAGATGATGATTGCCCCATGTACTTTGATGATGGTACAGATCCTTATCGACCAATATCAGAACAAGTAATGGTGTTAAATTTGTCTGTTAGGAGTTCCCTACATTTGCTGTTATATTTCCTGCAGTTTTATGTGGTAAGTTTTGATTTCATATAAAAGTAATTGAATTTTAAGTTGCCCTCATTAAACAGCTGCTTTTGTGAATAAGTTTTCTGAATATCATTGAAATGTTCTTTAACATTTTTTTGCTACTTGTGTTAATGGTTTATGTTATAAATATTTATGTGTGGCTGCAAAATTTGAAATCTGGCATTCTATAGGGTGTTGAAAATTAGTTAGAAAGTATGAAACTATTAAATATTTTATGTAAACTATTACAGTATGATATGCATCAAGCATTCTATAGAAAGCTGGTAGTTCTCCTTATCTTACATGCAAGTCACTTGGGCAGAGATTTTTTTCCTTTGTTTTGCACAGTCACATTTTTCCTGAGATTACACCATTGCATTCGACTTTCATTGATGAGTTTTATCCCCTTCCCCCCCTCCAAATTAATAAATAAAATTTCTCCTTTTCAAAGAAAGCTTCCCTTTTCACATTCAGGAGAGAAAAAAAAAATTAGTTTTTACGCTTTTTTCTGCTGATGTAGACGTGATTTAAAATTACATTCACATGGTTTCAAAGCATACATTGCGATTTGTTTTTATTCAAATTAAGATTTCACATTGTGTTTCGTATTTTCACAATTTTATATTGAATATTGCATTTTGTATTCACATTATTTAAAAGCGACTATTATGATTGCTGTTCAGGTGACTTAATAATTATAAACCAGAATTCATATTCACACAATTTTGAAATCAAGCATCAAGATTCGTTTTAACGTGATTTTAAACTCAAACATCCAGATTCATAATCAAACAATTTAAATAAAATCACGCATCAATATTTTTTATTCAAGCATTAATAACATTCTGTGGATGAATGCTTCCTACTTATTTTTTTATTGCTTACATTTCAGGTATTTTTTGAATTATTTAAAATGTGATTTTGCACATAACACTTTTGGATTTCTATTTTCAGCCATTTGGCTTTCTACCAAACGCATCCTTATGGTATGAACCAATATAGTTTTGTAAAAATAAAAACTTTTTAAAAACATCTGTGATTTTAAAACAAATTCCCCCAAAATGGGGTGGCAACTAAAGGGTTAAAACTAGTTGCTTGCGGAAAGTTTTTCATTTTATTTTAGTCTGGTGGTCCGGTTTTACCAGGGCTACTAAAATTTGACTTGAACAGCCACAATATAAATTATAGGTGGTCCCTGGGACCAGAAATGGATCTAAAGAGATGATATGCTGTTTCAAACTTTTGAATATTGGATTTAGTCTTTGTGATTCAGTCTTTGTTTTTGTTACAAAAAAGCATTTATTATATTGTGAACATTAAATTATTGCAATTTTTTATATAAATTCACTTTATATTAACTTGAAAAAAAATCTAATGAAGACATTTAAATGGATCAACAAGAATGCATATGGACTAGTAATATCTTTTAGTTACTACTATTTCCCGTACAAAAAACGTAAGTTTTTAATTTCTTCGCATGTTAAATAAAATTAAATAAAAATGGTTGTAACTATATTACAAAAGTTTTTAAAAATTATAGTGACTAAACATTCTATTTTTAAAATCAAATAAGAGATTACATATTATGAATTTTAAACTCCTAGATTTTGAAAGAATTGTGTGATTGAATGGTTACTTTGGCTAGGATCCACAAAAATCTTTTTTTCCTTGAAGTATAAAGTGGTTTCTAAAATATTTTTAGATTTCGTTTTTCTTATACTCAAAGGTTTTAAGCTAAAATCATTTTGTTGTATTTTGAAAGTAATTTCCACCAGTTATCAACCTTATGTAAAGAATGGTAGGTGAAAAATTAAAAAGCAAAAGAAAAGACACCTCAATTTTTATGCACATAGTCTTCTAAAATCTTAACTGTCCTTTCCTTAGTGACAGGAATACATACCTGCCAAGTCTTCTGCATTTTACAACTCTCTTCTGTTTCGCCATACTTTCTCAAAAACCTCTGTATTTTTTGAAGAAATTTTAAGAAAACTTTTTTTAGTGATAAAATAATGGCAAAAATACTTATTTTTTTCCTCAACAGATGGCGCTATTGCCAGTACTGCAGTTCATGCACAGCCATACTAACCAAACCATAAATAGTGGGACTGCTTCTGTGAGTCATTTATTCAGTGAATCGTTTTTTCTCTGATAATGAACTTCGTTATTTACCTACAAGCTAACTCTTGAACAGAATTTTGATAAAAATTTCCTATGCAAAGCCAAATCAACTACTTATGTAAAAATTCTGTAAAATAATGCTAATTACTTAAAATTATGAAAATTATTTTCATGTTGAGTACTTATAGCTTAAGTAATTCTGAATAATGGTTTAAAAAATCTTTTTCAGATTAAGATTTATTTTCATATTTTTTACTTCATTAAATGTGAGTGCTTATATAATTTCAAATTTTGACTTTTTGACTAACAGGATTATGCATGATGCATCAAAACTGTACACGTAGCTCAAAACATGATGCTAGTAAATTCTCCGTTATTTTATTTCTCCAATGTTGGCAGGTATGGGAATAACTTGGAGAAAGTTTAAAACAAAATATTTTCCTCGCAACAAATCGGAAATTCATTTTTCAAGATATTAGGATTCCTTAGTGACTACAGTTTTTTGAAATCATAAATAGACCCTAACACTGCTTCGCCACACAGAGCTTAATGGTGCAAGGTACATGTTCTAGCTTTTCTTTCAATATGATAACAACCATTTTATTTATCAGGCTTGAATCCAATGAATTCTCTTTTTTTTTTGTTGGTTCATCTTATCCACAAGCGTTTGTGCTAAACATTATAGACTTTGGCACCCCGATAAAAATGAGTTGTGGTTTATATACATACTTTTGCATTAAAGCCAAAGGTTGAAATTTGTAATAATTATAATAATACAGTACAGAACCCGTTATCCGGAAATCAGAAAACCGGAAAACCAAAAAACCGGAACGAAATTCAATACATTTTCTCGCCGTTTTTTAAAAAGAAATTTTTTCCTCATAAGATTTTACGATTTTTCTTTCTTGTTTTACCTTACCATCATTTTGGAAATAATCATTAGTGTATTACTTCATCGTTTTTTCTTATTTCTAAGATTATTTCCATTTTTTTTTTTTTAGTTTGGTTTAACTATAAAAAAACGGCTTTTTGTAGCGATTCAGAAAACCGGAAAAATCAGTTATCCGGAATAGCGATGGTCCCGACCGTTCCGGATAATCGGTTCCCTACTGTACTTTGAAAATTTGTAATAATAATAATTATATAATATTAATATGTTTATTTAAAAGTTTGGTTCTCATTTTTTACTGAGCATTAAAAATATGCATCACATGTCTGTTTGTTCAAGTGATTTTTATTCTCCTCTGTACGAAATAAATTTTCCATTTGCATCCATATTATGTACTGCAATGCAAGCAGAATAATTGTTTCTTGGTTGTAATCTTTTCATACTTTATATTTTATTTGGTTACATTAAAAGTGAATGAAAACTCAGATAAGTATATGAGACTTTCATTGGGAGTAGATGGTTTTGCCAGAAAATTTTATATGAAAGTCAGGATTTTCAAAAATATCTATCTGTATATTTGTTTATATTGCTATTTTTTATTTCTAATATATGTTTTTCTCTCTCCAGGTAATTAGGTTGGTTTAAAATTACAGAATACTTTGAAATTTCATTTCAAGTAAAATTCCGTCCTTGTATTGCGAGTGAAAACTTGAAGATGTGCTTTCTTTGAAATCAAACACTTATAGTATTAATTGCAAACTGATTGAAATCTTTGTGATTTTCATTTCATAGTATAATTTGCATGCCTTTCATTATAGAGGATTTTTTTTCATATTGGCTAAAAATTCAAATATTTGATTTAATATTAGTTTTGACCACTGCAAAATTTTTTAAACATATAACTTGTTTGCATTGAAACATACAATTATCATGCTATGCTATTTTTATGTCACTACCATAATAAGAATCATAAAAAAGTGTCAAAGTTGACAGCTCTGTTATAATGGGACTGAAAATAATTAAATAGGAAGCCAATCACTATTTTATAATTCAAAACAATTTTTAAAGGTGATTTAAATAATGAAAGTGTTCATTTTTCAAATCTTTTTTTTTTTTTAAGAAATTTTATTGGTCATTATATTTCATGAAAGAAACTAGGTAATGGAAATAAAGTTCATTTTATTGAATATAATTTCATTGAATAGCCATTGATTTTGGTTTAAAAAAAATTATTGAAAAGTAAATATTTAACTACTTGAAGTAATTCCATAAATAATTAATGATTATGTTAGTAAAGAATAAAAGAAAGTCTTCTAGAATTATTTCAAAAGAAATTCTTAGTTAAACTTTTGTATCTCAAGTTACCTGTTCTGGCAGTATAATAATTTACTTTAATATTGCTTAGATTCCCTTTTATTTTAAATGATTTATTTTAAATAACTTAATGAAAAATTTAAAATTAAAAATTTAATGAATGTTTAGTAATTATAAAAAAAATTAATGTACCTTTTATTGAAACTCTTCTTCATTTTGTATTATAATCAAATGCTTTTTTTACCTCTTCGACTTTTTATTCATTTTTTTACATAACTCATTGTGTATACTCATTTGGTTCATTGTGAAAATTTCTCAATCTTTTCATTCTGTTAAACATTCCATTTTAAAATGTTAGTTGTTTTGTGTAATTAATTGATCCTATTTTTTTTTTTTATAAACAATCCTTTTTGAGCTTGAAATTTTGAATATCAAAAACTTTTAAATATTTTTAATGAAACCTAAATAATTGTAAATAAAATAAAAATGAAAAGTTTAAAATATTTTTTATAAGCAAATATGTTATAATTAATGTGTATATTTGACTAGTCATTATTATCCTTTTAATGATTTGATGAGCATTCATTCAATGCTTTTACATGTTTGTTATAATTATAATTTTTTTTTTTTTTACATTCTGAATCTCAACATTCTCCTTAGTTTTAATTCTCGAATCTCTATAGATCTATGTGATACTTACCTTTTTCATTGCAAAATGTAAAATTTTTGTATTGAATTTATCTCAATTGGAAAATCAAATTACAAATTATATTGTTGAACGTTAAAGAAAAATGTTTAGAGTTTATATGTACTGTAATATTATCTATTTCCTACAAAAGAAATTAGTAATTAAAGATTGTTTCGACACACATTTAACAGAACGTTTCTCAACTGCTCTCACATTGTGTGTGAGTAAACTGTGTCAAAATGGTTTAAAAAAAAACAAAGAAAAACTCATCTAATATATAACAGCTAATAAGATTTAAATTGCCCCCTAACAACTGTTTATGAGCAGAAAATGAATGGGAAGTCCCTATTGGAGAAACCACAAATTACTAATTTTCTTAACTGAGAAATGAAAATTCCTAGTTAATGATGTATATATATATATTTTTTTAAAAAGAGGAAGGAAATAATTTTTTTCTCTATGCGATTTAGTGAATAAACGAGGAAATGCAACATTGGTTTCACGTAAAATAATTTGGTTCCTCTAAATTTTATTTATATAAGTGGGTTATTCAATTATCCGATAAGTAATTAAGTGGGAACGACTGTATTGATAAATAATGTAAAGACACTCTTTTAAAAATTATTTAAATGTATTTGTTTACGTATTATTTTAAGTCTCTACAAATGTAATTTTATGTTTTATAATTATAAACATTGTTTAGTTTTTGTTCAAACTGCTTATTTAGAGTGAATGTATTGAAAGCAGAATCCAAGAAACTCAAATAATGGATTAGGATCTTAAGAATGAATTGATCTGTTATTATTTTGTGTATGAGCATTTTTTGTTTAAAATATCTGGTTTAGGGTTTTTGTAAACAATTGTTAAATCAAAATTATGTGTTTGGGACCTGGTGATTTATTTAGAATTATTTTACACTTTTATAGCAATTTATTTTTATGTAGAACTATTTTTTTAGATTAAATGAGTTGATTTGATTTACTTTGTTATTAAAATTTTATTTTGTTATTCATATTCATAATTCAATATTCTAATGCTACACTGAATGTAAGTGAAATTCATTAAATTATTATTCTTTTAATTAACTTATTTTATCTTTAAATATGGATAATGGATCAAATTTCTTTAGGTTTTTCTAAATTGCAGCTTTTTTTCCTCAAACTAAGTTTAAGTACATATAGTAGCATTTTTTGTTGTTTACTTTATCTAGGGTATTTTTTATATAATTTCATTTCACTTCTATTAAAAATAATAGTTAGTTTAGATTTTATACAAACTATTATATCATGTTTGGGACCTGGTGATTTTATTTATAAATATTTTAGAATATTATTTATAACATTATTCTTTACTTTCAAAATATCTTATTTATTTTGTTGTTTACAATTTTTATCTTGAATGTCCTTGTATTGTTTTACCAAATAGAGGTGATTAGATATATTGTTCCACAAAATTAAAATTGTTTTTAAAGAAATTGAAAATATGATTAATCATATCTCATTTTCATAAACTTGGTTAAGTAGCACGTGGACTTAAATTTGAGTAGCATTGTTTTATAGCTTATTTTATGTTGGACAATTTTAAATCATTTTTTTCATGTTTTTTGAAATGTGCTATCATAGTGAAAATTTTACTAGTGTATTTTTCTACAGCTTTTTATTGCAATACTGTGATATAACAAACAGCATCAATGTTTTTAAAAATATTTTACCAAAAGGTGTATAAAGCTTCATTAATAGTCACAGATTCCGTCCATTTTATTGTTAAATATTAATGCTCCTTTTTTGGTAAATTTTGTTTATGGAATTTTTTTTTTTACAGAAATAAAAGTTGTAAAAATTTATTGTGTATCTTTATTTATAGTTAGAGAGGAATGTTTTGATGACTAATTGTTTTACATGCATTTAGCAACTTCAAATTTTGGCCTATACTTGACAAATATAAGAAATAATCTCAAAGTTAAAAGACATTCTGTGTTTTTTTGGTTGGATTTTGCATTAGACTATTCTGTTGACTTAACCTGATTTCACTGAAGACCATATTTTTTACCACGTGTATTGGCAAGTAAGTCAGCAATGCGTTTACCAAAAACAATCTACTGCAACTCACTGTAAGGCATTGAGTGTTCAATGCTTTATTAGAATCAGGACAAAGCTTTTTAGTTTTGCTATATGATCGCCAGCATTTCTTATTTTTGTGATAATTGTTTGCAAGCTCCGATGGCTCAAGTAAAAGAGCACTCATTCCAATGAGGTGAACCAGGCTCAAACCAAAGAGAAATCCATCACTTACCATAAACGAGAAATTGGATCCTTTGGTAGTCCAGACGTTGTGACATCTTTCTTATTTCCCCCAACTACGTAAATTGTGTTTGTTATGTTGGACAATCATAATTACTAAATTGATCCTTTGATTGATTGGTCTATCTTCTAAGAGATGCTGTTCAAACTTAGTAATCTCTTTTAAATTTGCATTCTTTTTAAAGGCGTTTATCGTAGCTCTTTGAATATCTTAACGCAATTATCTTTCAACAGCTTAACTACAAATGGATAAAACTAACCATTCATTAATAATTGTTACAAGCTGCCACAACAGTATAAAAGAAAGCTGATAATTATACGCAGCAAAAAACATTTCGTATGACAGCTGAGACTTTGAAGAACAGCAGTAAATACAGTAAAAAAAGCATAAAGTTTAAGCGTAGCTGCAGTCGGTTTGGTTTTTAAACTCAATTTTATTGATTATTATAGAAAACAATAAAATCAGTTCTTCATTTACCTCTTATAGATCTTATTATTTTCAAGAAAACGGTCATTAAAGTACTTTTTTTTAAAAAATCGAAAAAATTGTATTAAATATGTGTACGTACAATAGATGCATTCATTTTTAATTTGTGGAATTTTTTTTAGTTTGAAATTTATAACTCTATAATGTACACAATATTAAAAACTATTTTATCACAGAACGCAAATCACGTATATTCACAGAGAGCATAAGTAGCTGAAGTTAAGAGTTCAAAATACATATCACAAATATATATATTTGAATAGTGCTGACATCTAGTTTAAAATTAAATATCTCTAGTTACATTAAAATAGCCTGGTGCAGCCATCTAGTGTGTAAAAGAAGAAATGAAATGAAAACAATTCTGGGCACGGGAGATGGATGTATTTAAACCATCATGATGCATAACGTTTGAAAGCTCCAGCCGGAAATATCAAGGACACAGAAAAATAGGAGACGAATGCTCACCCTGGGATTTTGACGGGAGCTCGAAAACTTTAAACAGAGCTTTTAAAATTGCCATTCAATGAGGAAATGTAAAGTTTATATAATTTCTAAAACATATAATAGTGAAGGTGTTTTGTAATCACTGCTCTTAAGAGGACGCCATATTACGGGAGAAATTTTTTGTCGCAGATTCTCTCTTTAGTAAGTTAAAATTTAAAAGAAAGAGAAAATGATTTTGAGTAAACCATGAAGTTTGAATAACTGAAAGAAAAGTTTCAAAATATCAGAATGCTAACAAATTATTGGAAGAGAACTTCTCCACTACATAATCCTAAGTTATCTTCCCATAATTTATTTTCATTCTGATATTCAAATTTTTTTTTCAGTATTTGAAACTTCATGGTTTACTCTATAGGTTTGTCTGAACTCACATTTTCCATACTTTAAATTTTCAATTAGTAACGAAGGTGAAAGAGAATTTGCGTTGAAAAGTTTCTCCAGTGGTATGGCGTCCTTGTAATGTCTTTTTCCAATATCGTTATCAAAATTCACGAAAAGGAAATTAAAAACATTGAAACCTGTTCGTTAACCAAGAAATTCGTAAGAGTATGAAAAGAGAAAGAAGCCCATCCAAAATTTCTATGGGCAATCAAACTGGTTCGAAATTTTTTAATTTAGCCTCTCAATAGTAAAATGACAGAGTTTGATAAAGTTTCTTTTCATTCATTGCTTAAATAATTTACGATAACTTATTTTTTTATTAGGATTCAGGAAATATATTTTATGAGTTGCAATTTTGAAACACCCTCTATACTATAAGACAAGGGAGAGGTTCGGATATAATTTCTGACATCCAATGCAAAGTTTTTTTGTGGGAA